GTTAAATGACAAATAATCAACATTTTAAATTTCAGTGAGTAATTTAAAATATGGACCTAAATTCAGTAAACAAAGCTCGATATATTAAACTTAGTGACCAATCAAAGATATTTTCCTAAGTCCAATGACCATTGGAATGATTAACTTGAATTGTGATTTAGAAACAAATGCTAAAGTTTCAAAGATAAAAAGGTTAAATTCTCATTAAAATGCCATTCTTAGTGCTATTTGTACTAATTTCCCTATTTGCACCATTGGGCTTGCGTGCCCGGCCCATTTTAATTTTTAAGAGTCAAATCGCGTTTTATCTAGCTAACACGTTTCTCAGGATCTAAAACGCCAAGAAATATGCGACTCTATTTGAATTTTGGATACAATAAATTGCAAGGCGGTCGCGCTGTGTATAGGAGGCTCAACTCTGTAATTTTTTCTAGAACAGTTCTGATCAGAGATTCTCTCCTGGTAAATTTTTTAGAGTAATTCTCGTGCAATAGGGTTTTTATTTTCTATTCTTTATCCTTTGTTCTATTTATAATTGTTTCTAAAACACGTTATTATTTTTTGATGGGTTTTTTTTTTTTTTTTTTTGGTTGCAGAAATACATACTCTTTTCGGATTTCGATTCCGGTGTAGGCCGCTTCGGGCGAAGCTTAATTAATGGTAATTGCGTCTATTGGGACTGAATTTAATCTGTTTTCCCCTTTATTTATGTAATTGCATATCTTAGGTAATGTATAAGCATGGAAGTAGTCTGCTTAGGTTAGTTTAAGACCCCTAACTATTATATTGAGTGTGTGAGCATTTTAGGATTAACTTTTTTGCTGGTGGGGTATAATTTTGTAAGATTGCTAAAGATCATGTTGAGTTGGTGAGTATTTTAGGATATTATTATTATTATTTTCAATTTTTTTCCCCCTTTGAGTGTTTCTGACCACTAGTGTTTCTATCTATGCAAGTGATTATGTGAAGTTCATATGGGTTATATTACATTATATGGGTTTATATAGCATGTTGTTATTTCATTTCAAACGGTATGTTATACAGACCGATTTAAAACGAATTCCTAAATCAAGAGATTATGGATCTTATTTAGCAAATAGAAAGCCATTTTCTCATCTTCGAGTTCCAGAAAATGGTATTATTTGATTTGAGTCGACCTGTTACTCTCTGGCTTTAAGACACATTTGTTACTTTCAGTTGATGCTTAACTGAAATTAAGTTTTAAGGATCTTTCACAGCGCAAATCAGCAAATGTCATAAGTGTCATTATGTTCTCAAAAATTGTCTCTTGCTGGGGGGGAAGAACTTTTGTTTTCCTTAAATTTGGATTTCCTTTTAACCTGTGAACATATACCAATAAATACAGTATTCAAACCCCACGGAAAATCAATAAACACAGTTGAGCATAAATGCAATGCGTGCTTCATTATCTAATAACTTCTTGCTTTATTTCTAATTTTTTAGATATGAAGTCTGACAAAAAAAAAATTGCTGTGGTTGACATTGTGTAGGAGATCAACTGTTAGCTCTTTGTTCCATAATGAAGTTTAATCACCTTAATTTTTCTTTTTTCTTTAATATTGGATGGCTGTGGAGGTGTTTATACCGATTAATTAATGAAGAATACCGTCAGCAAAAAGTAATTTAGCATCCCAATTCTTTAGTATCTGATGCATTTTTAACTGGTTGGTTAGTGGAAGTTCAGATGTGATCCCATATATCACATGCTCATGAAAAATGATATCAAACTGCTGTTCCCTTTGCCGTACCCCTTGATCATAAATTATGTCACTGACCACCATTCCTGTGAATTGCATAATATAATTTGTTCTTCCATCACTCCTGCTAACTGGTGCTACTTCATAAAATGTGGTGGATCTCTTATTATTGTTATATTTCCCCTACACTTAATTTAAAACTCGTGCTGTCATACATCCGAAATAAATGAAATCGATCTAATTAGCATGCAGGCTACTTTTTTCTTATGCCACAGAATATTGCTTTGTTGATTTTGGTACCAAAAAGAATTAATTTTTACAGGATTACACATCTCCCTTTGTTTTCTCAACCTACTCTATTTATTCCAACTTCGTAGCATAATATAATTTCTTATAGCTTTTATGCAGCTTAAGAAGTTTATGAACTTTGAAACTAACCGCATGTCCTTTGTTTCAGGCAACTCTTAATGATTCATTCCTGGCAGATCTTGATGAATTGTCTGATAATGAGGCTAATCTTGTGAGTATATTGCATTTTCTTTTTCTTCTGTTTGTATGTGTCCGTTTACAGATAGAATCCATTGTGAATGTAAAACTTCTTTGGGTAGTTGTGGCTTTTTCGTGTTTTTGTTGCAGTTAAGACTTCATCCCGGTCTTCTGTTATTTCTTATGGAATAGGGTTGATAGTGTTTTACTTCCAGGTTGAGAATAACGAGGAAGATGAGGACATGGAAGAAGATGTAGATGGGGACTTAGCAGACATAGAAGCACTTAATTACGATGATCTGGATAGTGTTTCAAAACTACAGAATACACAGCGCTACACTGATATTATGCAGGTTTGTTTCGTTTTTATCAGTGTAGTCCATTGTTTTATATTCCATATTCAATTCACGAAATAACATGAAGAGCCTTGATGGTTATGATTCCTCTTGGGTGAAATCATTGTTCTCATTTGTCTTCTGTTGATCAGCAAGCCATGTTCTTGTCTATGTCAGTCATATCTGAGATTTTAGCATTCTCCTGCCCCACCTCTGACCGTGCTTCTGTTGCTCTGCTAGTTATTTGTAAGTATACGTTGATGGGTATTTATATCTTTTGTTGCAGAAAGTCGAAGATGCACTTGAAAAGGGTTCTGAAACCTCAGATAAAGGAATTGTTTTGGAAGATGATCCAGAGTATCAGCTGATAGTTGACTGTAATGCCCTGTCGGTTGATATTGAAAATGAAATTGTGATCGTCCACAATTTTATCCGTGATAAGTATCGCCTGAAATTTCCAGAGCTTGAATCTCTCGTTCATCACCCGATTGATTATGCTCGGGTAGTTAAAAAGATTGGGAATGAGATGGATCTGACCCTTGTTGATCTGGAAGGACTCCTACCTTCTGCTATCATTATGGTCATTTCTGTAACTGCATCAACTACCAGTGGCAAACCACTCCCTGAGGATGTCCTACAAAAGACACTCGATGCATGTGATCGGGCTTTAGCTCTAGATTCAGCAAAGAAAAAAGTCCTTGATTTTGTGGAGAGTCGAATGGGGTATATTGCTCCAAATCTTTCTGCTATAGTTGGAAGTGCTGTTGCAGCTAAACTTATGGGTACTGCTGGTGGTCTCACTGCATTAGCAAAGATGCCTGCTTGTAATGTTCAGCTTCTTGGTGCCAAAAAGAAGAACTTAGCAGGGTTTTCAACAGCAACGTCTCAATTTCGTGTGGGTTATCTAGAGCAAACTGAAATATTTCAGAGCAGCCCTCCTTCCTTGAGGATGCGTGCCTGCCGGCTTTTGGCAGCAAAATCTACACTTGCAGCACGTGTAGACTCTACAAGAGGAGACCCAACCGGAAAAAATGGAAGATCTTTTCGAGACGAGATTCTTAAGAAGATTGAGAAGTGGCAAGAGCCCCCTCCTGCCAAGCAGCCCAAACCTCTTCCAGTTCCCGACTCCGAGCCCAAGAAAAAGAGAGGTGGTCGACGGCTGAGGAAGATGAAAGAAAGGTGTGAGAACTTACCTTTCAGCCTAGTCAAAAGATGAGCAAGATATCCTGTCCATTTTCTATTCCAGAATTTATGCTTTTGAAAATCAAATAAGCTAATGTACTCTTCATTTTTCGTCAGATATGCTATTACAGATATGCGGAAGTTGGCCAATAGGATGCAGTTTGGAGTTCCAGAGGAGAGTTCTTTAGGTATTCATATCAAATCTAAGAAAATCTACTACAAATCATTGGTTCATTAGTCTATTATAACTGTATTGCACTCGTGAGTTTTTATGTTTTCATTTTCTATATTTTCTGAACTTAAGGAATGAGAATATACATCAACAAGTGAAGGTGGCTAGAATTGAGAATAAATTAAGGGAACAATGACTTAGATGGTCGGTGCCTGCATTATGTAGATCTAAAGAGGTTCCTATTCGTACAAGTGATGCAATATATTAGGGCCTCGTTTGATTCCCATTTTTCTCTCTCTTCTTTTCAACCACACATTCTTTATTAACATAATATTACACGTAAATAAAAAACTTTTGCTTATTTTTTACCCACACATTCTCCATCAATATACTATTCTAAAATTCATTTTTTCATCAAAATGGGTGTCAAACACCCTTTAGAAGAGGGAGAGGGGTAGACCAAAACTAACTTGGCCTCTTGTGGTTTCTGAGGATATACTTGTACTGGATCTTCATGTAGATGCAGCGGTTAACCCAAAGGATAGTTATTGACGTAGCCAATCCCAAATTTATTGGGAATAAGACTCATTTCATCAGTTTTGTTTGTTTAAATGTACATCTCTTAACTAATGATTGATTTCCTTTAAAAAAAAAAAAAAAAAAAAAAAAAAACCTCAAACTACATTCTACTGGCATGCAAGTGAAGTCTGTGCTGTATAATGTATCATTCATTTTGCAGAGTAGCCGATTTATCATCTAATATCATAAATAGGAAGTTGAGGTCAATGTTTTTTATCTGTAAAGTGTCACCAATCTTTCTAAATAAATAAAGAAATCTCAAAGAAATTTGATAATATATTGGAGAATGCTGTTTCAAGATTGAAACAAACCATTAATCAATTTGCATTATCAACTCTATGATGTTTCCCAATTGACAATTACTAGTTTATATGTTTTTAAAATTTATATTATTATTAAAAGTATTTGAATAACAATCAATCCAGTAATATGTTATAATTGATATAAATTACTGTTACATCCAAGTTTGAGGATGTGATTGCCAAAAATATAATATGGGGAACCTCTTTTGTGTTAAAAAAAAATAAAAAATAAATAAATAATTTCTGCTAGGTACTTGATGATCATGAGAGCTTTGTCCCTACCATTTCTCCACTTGTTCAAAACTCTTCAATATTCATGGCACCCCAACTGATCCAAAATTATATAACAATTAAAACAACACATAAATCGACATCTGTGCTCATAGTTAGTCTATGTATTTGTATATGTACATAAATTAGTATTTTTGCTTATAGGTGGGATATGTATTTGTATATACATACGAATTTGTATGTGTGAGAAAGCAGAAAACAAGGAGAAAAGAGACACCATCGAAGAAATAGTGAAAGTGAAACAATGAGCAGGAGGTTAAATGGTAGGGTTTGCATTTTGCGCACATGAAACTGTGTATAATTTATAACAATTTGGACTTTCCGGGCCATTTAGTCCACATGCTCATTTTTGAATTCTATATTTATTTTTTAAATTTTAAAAATAACCGGTTGAATCCCTATTCAACCTCAGTTCAACTCTTTGACCCTTTTCTTTCTCCGGGTCAATGCCCGGGTCGTTTTTAAAACATTGGAAAGATGCTGAATATAGAAGGCTAACTTGAAGCAATCCTCACCAATCTTCAACCCCTTTAGGCACTCTGTCCCAAACCTCTATTTCTTGGCTTTCTCGTCCCAACCTTCTATTTTTTGGTGCCTGTGGTCGTTAGTGACAATTGCCATCCAATTTTTTTTTTTTTTTTTTTAAAGGCCGAGTAAAAGATGGATTTCTCCTCAG